TAGAAAAATGAAAGTAAACACTTTCTGAAACAGAGAGCATGTTGCAGTTATGATACAGGTAGAGCTAAACATTTCTGCATTCTTCTGGGCAAATATTTCTCAGTTTTTCAGTGCCAGTTTAATTTTGAGTTTTAAACTTAAATATTGATGCATATAGTACAGTTTTATATTCCAGTTTTTGTTCGTAAAAGTACAAAATAAAGGACCATACAGAATCTAGTTCTCACCATAGTCTTTCAGTAAAGGTCCAGTGGAAGAGTTTATTTTCTTTGAAACTCTAACATATACAAATTTACTATACTTTTCTTGTAGTGGAGGGAGAAAAAAACCTAACCAAACATTATTTCCCAAAGTAATTTATTGCCGCTTTTAAGATTTTCTTATAGTGTGGCTCATGGATGATGCCATTATCTTTCAGTATCAGGAGGCCAACCATGTTCTACAACTTGTCTGCTTTTCCAAGGGAGGTAATAAATGAATCAAGGCCCTTAGATGCTATGATATTATGTGATTATTTTTTTTGTTTGTTTTTGGTGGTTGTGGTTTTTGTTTCTTTGTTGTTTTTTGTTTGTTTTGTTATGGTGTGCACAGCTCTAGAATAAAACTTTCCTAGAACTGTTCAATAATAGTAAGGAGAAGCGTACCGAAACTCATTAAAGGTGAAGGAATTTTTATGCCTGAACCTAAATGGCTACTGAAAAAATAGATCAGAATGAAATTACCCAGTAGCTATTTAACAAAAATAAGGACTTGACATAAAGTTATTTACACCTGTGTGTTTTGAATCAGGACTGACAAATTTCTTGCATATGTTTAAAATAGATTTCTCCCTTTCTTCCATTTGATCCTTTAAGGAACATTTACACATTCTCTTTGAACTCTTTTGCTTCACCTGTGAAACTTTCTTGTAAGATTGTGTGAACCGTCACTGATCTTTTGGGGGGTGAGGGAATAACCCAAGGACTATTTTTTAAGTAATGACTCTTGCACAGTAGAGAACTAGAAACATACACAGAATATACCTGCAAGGTAACTGATAGATCTTAGATTCCATGTTTGTAAGGCAGAGTTAAGACAAGTCTGTTATTTGTTAGAGGCTGTAGAGTGAGTCAGTATCAGAGACAGTATTTCTTTATATAAAAACTAGAGTCATGTGTTGTTTAATAAATAGCAATAGCTGATCTCAAAGCTGTCTTTGTTCTGTCCCTTTGTGAACTCCAACGTGTTTATTCAAAGGAAAACTTTACCCCATTGAGCTTTTGCCAACGTCAATAGCAGCTGAATCCTGAACTCACCGCATTCCTTTGCAAATGCCCCCTCAAGCCTGTCCTTCTTTTCCAATATCTTGACAGGTCTGTGTAAAAACTGCTAAAATAATACTAATCACATGCAACACTTACAAAATTGGTAAATGAATTGTTAATCTTCATTGTCATTTTCACTTAACTAAGACTGAAATAACATGAAATGTGATATTCTCTGGTCTTTTTCCATCTCTGAGTGTTCCTGTTTGTGTGTGGTGGATATCTGTTATTAGCTTATTTTCATGGGACTCTTGGCAGTGAGTCAAGGCAGGAGAGATGACTCTGGACAAAAGAAGATGCAGCTTTACATACATAGTTCATTTCCTTAATCCATCATGAATTAGAAGATCAGTTTACAGGCAGTGATAAGTGGATCTCTAAGCACCTTCCTGGTGTCTCTCGTTTTTTTTTCTCTCTCTGGAGCTCACCTTTATCTTCATCACTGAAGATAATAACCTTTTTTCACACCACTGCAAAGATGTTAAAACCCAGTAACAGCAGTCTCAGAGCACATGGAGCAGTGCTAAGTTTCAGAATGATTAAAAAAATAAATGGGGGAGGCAGGGAGACCCTGCCCCCCAACCTCTAACCTAAAATAAACCTTGCTAAACGTATAATGTAAAATTTAGATGGATCTTTCTTCATTAAACAGTGTTCTCTTAACTGGTGATTTTACAAATCTAAAACAGGTGCAATGTGTCATGCAATTTATGGATCCTAGTACCTGCCATAAGGTATTTTATGATGGCTGCATTCTGTGTTATTAGTAGCTGTCTTTTTGTGCAGCCATTGGTGTTTGATAATAGTCTTAAAACACCCAAAATTACTTACCTGCAAGCAACATTCCAGATAGTCCCTGTTGACAGTTTGAATAAGTTTAGTGCCCTTTTGTTGTACTTTACCTTCAAAACAAACTGATTGAACCATCAATAGCTCCTGAAAGCTGACAGAGGCATGTCATCTGGTCTAACGCTCTGATAGTAGGTTATCTGTGGGAGTTAACCTCCCTGCATTGTTAACTGAAATGTTTTATGTACTATGCAACTTTAGGATACTGCTGTGATAACCTTAGTAACTAAGTCATACATCACAGTAAAGAGATTTTGTGCAACAAATAACCCTGGATTAAATTTACAAGGGTTGAATTGATATTGTAAAGTGTTCATTCCAGGGCTTTGGTAATCCTTTCCTGTATTTTTTATGGCAAACTTGTGTTACATTTAGATTGAAGCTGCATCTTCATATTTCTAGCTAAAATATACCCAGGAAGCCTGATGATTTTCTTCAGCCATTTAATAAAAAATTGTCATATTATTTTCATATAATGTAGATTCTTTTTATCCCATGCTTAGTAAAAGGAATATGAATAAATGTGATGGTATTTTGAATCACCTTTTAAAAGAATTAATCACTGATATACCTTTGTTCTACTGGTGGGATAACCTTTATGGCTTACTTTTTTAATATTTGCTGTGCAAGTTTAAAAAAAAAAAACAAAACCCCAAACCTGTGACTTGTGGTATAGTTTGCTTGTGTTTAGTTTACATGGGTAGGGTTTTTTGGTTTTGTTTTTGGATTTCGCAAGTACTGGTGCTAATTCTGTTTTTTGAAGTGGAGTCAGGATGGCTTAAAAATGCAAAAATACATTTGTATCAAGGAATGCTATTATAATTTTAAGCTCTTTGGAAATGATTGAGAGACTGACATTAGGGCTGTGATCCAAAGTCAGCATAGATGACAGTGCTGTCTTAGTCTGTTGTCATTTTTGTTGCAGCCTGCTTTTCAATGGCATATTTCATTCCATCATTAAACATTTGCTGATTTTCTAATACCGATGTTTTCTTCACCTGAATATTCATCTTTTCTCACCCTACACTTAGTGGGTGTCCTTACTTGTTTTTAGCTTCACTCTTCTTCACTCTTGACATATTGTTTCCTTCTGTACATGTCTTCATTTGAAAGAATCTGTTGTCATCAGAGCTTTTCTGCCAGTAATGCAAGATGGATAGCTTCTCCTCCACTGAAAGATAAGGGCCAGCAAAACGCCAGGGAGGACTGGAAGGGCAGCCAGGAAAGCTGGGAGGAGTCTGAGAATGTGTCAGTCTTGTAGATCTGTAGCTGTTGTTTAATAAATGGTCTTAGGATATGTTTTGTAAAGTGACTCTTCTTCTAATATCATTGAAAGTCAAAGACTGAGGATTCACATTTAAATTGTCTGATTTCAGTACTGAGCATTTTCAGTTCACTTGTTAACAATTTACGAAGCTGTTGCCTCAGAGGAAAGGCATACTTGATGGAAAGGTTTATTTGCAGCATTAAATTTTGCTTGATTGTAGAAGGGGAGTCTTACAGTTTTTTCACATGTTTATCTGGTCTTTAGAAGAGTATTATAAGATAACTCTTACCTTTTAGAACATGCCTTGTGTGTTCTTTTTCAAAATGTTATGTTAGGCAGAGTTTTCTACTACTTTGATTTTTTTCCTCCCAGTGCCGGAAGGGATTGGTATGATTAGGAGGCTCTCTGACTGACTGGAGTTTTATGCAAAGCAGCTAGGCATGGGGAGCATTATCAATCACCTTTCTACCCCCTGCCAGGAAAAGTCTGGCACTTCCCTCACTTTGCGATGTCTGCTTCGCATTTGGTTGACTAAATGTAAATAACATGTACTTGAGTTGGTTAGATATTTTAATTTGCCATGGTTCTGTGCCTTACTTTGTTTCTGATCTGCCATGTTCTCTCCCTCTGCAAGCAAGGAGCCAATGATATTTTCTGAGGCTAAAAATCTGCTGTACTTTGGGTAAAAAAGATAGATAGAATATAGTGCTGATGGATCCTAACAAGAACTTTGAATTCTTAAAATATTTTTCTTTAAAATAATCTCTCCCTGTGTTTCTGCATTTAATCCTGAGCTGGGATCCATATGCCATAAGGACACCTTGTCTCTCTGGCAGGACCAAATTGGTATTCTCCTTCCAAATGATGCCTGTGTCAAAATGTAGTCCTGGAAAGCAGAGACCAGGAATAACTCTCCATGCTTTCTCTTGACAAATTCTTTTTTTTAACATTAAGAGTTTTGAACACTGATGTACACTCCTTTCAAGACAAAGAGTGGTGTTTTAGGATGTATGGTAGAAGACAAATTACACTCCTCCCTGATTTGCTGTTCACGTGTCTCTAATGTTGCTGATCATCATGTTTTTAGGAAAATATAATAAAAATCTGAAGAAGTGTTGGCAAGTAAGTGTTTACTGAAAATTCTTTCAGAGAAGATAGCTGGCAGTTTTCCATGTCTCAGATTGGTTTTCCCCTGCAATGTAGGATGGAATCTTTGGAATCACTCAAAAGTCCTTTTTCCAAAGTGGCAATTCAAAACAATTTCTGGTTTATTCTATTTCTGGGTATACCTTATACCTTACTAATACCTATAGAGAACATACATGCCCATGGTGATAATTTTCTTATCTGTTTGATCCACCCAGTATTAAACTGTTATGGGCAGATTACAACAAGCTTCATTTGAGAGAGCAAAGTAAGTATTATAACTTTTTATATAAGCTATGTTGCAGGAAAAAGGTGAACGGAGAGAGGAAAAAAGGCTGTTGCTGTCTATTGCTACTGTTATTTTTTTAGTCATTTAGTCTGTATGTCTTTGTTTATGACTGGATTTTAACTGTGTGCATTTTGCTATCTGTCAGGTATTTTGTCCTGCACAAATTGACAAACCTGAAATTTCTCGATACTCGGAAAGTAACCAGGAGGGAGAGAGAGGAAGCCTTGGTAAGAGGTGCCTTCATGAAAGTGGTTAAGCCCAAGGCTGCTAAGGTAGGAGAGTAAATGGAAGAAGTAACAACAATGTGAATCATTATCACTGTTTTAAAATAACTCTAAAAGCTTAGCTGCGTTTTTCACTAAAGTAACAGACAAAACCTTTCAAATGAAAGGACTGATAAATGTGGAAGGTGAGGGACAAAAGCCTTAGTAATTTTTATGTGTTTTAATATCAAACTTTACTGTTACATCTGGATAATAGACTGTGGTTATGTTATCAAATTTCTGGTTTCCAACCTCTGTTTCAATAAAGTAACTAATATGTGTCACTGAACTTAAAAGAATATTTTTACCCTGTCTAAAGATATGTAATAACTGTGTGATATGCTTTTGTGAAAGAATGCAGTTTTTCTGACAAGTTGTCCCCTGCCTTGTGTGTTAAACACAAATGTCTATCACAGAACTCACACCTGTGGTGTTTATTGGCTTTTAGTGGACCAGGTGATTCTAATTTTGTATGATGTTACTTAATGTGGTGTCCTGCTAATAAGCATTGACAACATCAGAGAGACAGTTTCAGTAATCTGAGCTTTTGATACCCCTTGCATCAACTCTGGGCATACTGTATACTGCTGATGCAAATGAAATATGAATATGAATTCTCTACTTTACCTTCTTTTTCCATTGTTGATCAATACACGATAGCAGCAATCCGAGCTGCGGAGTGTTTTAGAGCTGCAGATCTTTCTTAAAACTCCAGTCAAGTTTTCAGTCTACTTGCTTTCTGTTAACTGTTTTGTTCTCTAAAATATGCCATCAATAATTTATTGCAGATTTCCAATGATGCTGAATAATAAGATAGCAGCTATGGAAATGCACTGTTTGGTAGCATAACAGTGTTGCTAGATAAATGCATTATCACAAGTACAATTGCAGTGCATAACAAATTAATTCAGACTGATTCATTTATAACTACTAAAATGTTAACAGTTCTAATACACGCATAGCTTTGATATATTGTCTTATTGTTTTCAGCTTCATATATGTAATAAATGAAATTATTTATTTCTAAGCTGTTGTGGATGTCTTATTCACAGCAAACCATCTTTGCTGAATCTGGCCAAATGCAACAGCTGAAATGTGTTAGATATAGCATATGTATCTTGTCTTCTTTTATAATTCTTCTTATCTAATCAGATTTTGGATCTGGTGAAGTGTTTTTTGAATTTTATTAGCAATTAGATTTTTCATTTGAGAGTCTGCTCTTTGAATTTTAACCAACTTAATTGTGTAAGAGAAGAAAAACAGTGTCTCTTCCTTAAATTTGAAATTCCTTTTCTGGATGAAACCTCTTTTTAAGTCAATTGCTAAGGGTAAATTACTTAAAAATGTAGGGATAACATCTTTATCTTTCATATCTGTAATTCAACCTTTTGTATAGTTTTGAGTTATTTACCCACTAAGTCTTATGATAAAACATACATTTATTTCAGCAAATTTGCAGAAGGCTCAAATTTACTCTTGTTATTGCCATACTAAAGTGGTGGGGGTTTTTTTTCTGCTTTATAAATTGTTTGGTACAAATTGCTGATGGTAAAATCATTGTAAATGCTTTTCAAGGCATGAATTAATGCTTCTTAAGGTGCTACAAAATTACCCTCATCATACAATATTATATACATATTACACAAGTGACTAATTTAAAATAAATATTAAATTGGATGCAGGACAGTTATTATAAACCTCTTAAAATTGTTTTGAATTTGTGCTTGTTTCCTAGGTTATTCATACTTACAGTATGCGTGCATGCATGCAAACTCTTTTTACGCCTGAGAACACTCATGGAGTCCTCTCTGCATATATGTTTTCAGATGCAGATTTTTATGTATATAGCTATTTACAGTTATACTCAAAGACCATAACAAGCAGCATTCCTCTATATATCACAAAGATGATGTGCAGAATAACTGTACTTTCAAATTCTATCATATGTTATATATTGAATACATAATGGATTTTTATTCTTCAGCCTTCAGGTTTCCTGAATCTTGTGCTCTCTGTTCATCAGAGCCTCCCATATAGTTGTTGAGATTTTTGACCAGCTTCAGCCAAATTTAACAGACAGATAGTGGTAATATATTCTAAGCTTTCTGAAACTAGTTAGAGGAGAATACACCTTGATCCAAACTAAGAGGAAGACTGCAGCACATCCACTATTGGTTGTTAGAAAAACTTAAGTTGACCTAGTGATATAAGACCCTGCTGATAGTTAACTTCCTAAGAATGTTTTTTTCCTTCCCCCTATAAGGTAGTAGCTAGTGTGTCAGCCTATACTTGCAGGAATGGAGCTGGAGTGATTAGTATTTATGTTGGTGCTTGCCACATGGAAATGTTGTTCTGCCAGATGTATTAACAACAGTGAGCCTATCAGACTTGATTTTTCAGAAAAAAAACCCCAAAATCCTAATTTAGGTGGGTTTTTTTTCCCCATTATGATAAGCAGGAGATGGCATGGCTTATTCAGCATAAAAGGCAGGCTGATGATCTAAAGAGGTTGTGATGTGGGGAGTTGTTTTCATTTTAGTCTTGACATGAAATACTTGGGAGAGCAAAATACCCCACCAAGAAAAATACACAAAATGAGAATAAAAGCAAGAAGTTTCCATCTGACTAGCTTGTGTTTACTCGAATGCAAAAGTATCTAGCAATCACCAGTCATGACTAAGTCATAAATATTTTATTTTATATAAATTTTTTTACTTTCATTTTTCCCTATTTTTTCTTTCTTTTTTTTTTTTTTAACAGAACACTGCACTTTCTTGTGCTTTGCTTCATTTCATCCTTTGTTTAAAATGCATCGGTTTGTGATATGACTGTCTTATGGAAAGATGCAGTCATTTATTAGAAAACAGTTTAATGTTACAATGCAGTATTCCATCTCGCTATGTAAGTGAGCTAAACTTCATTATTCTGTGATGTTTATGTTTTCTTTTGTCAAAATATTGAACATTGTATCATGCCTGATTTTAATACAGATTGGGTAAGCCTGGCTGGATAAGAGGCATTGAGCTAGATGAGAAAGCCTTGTTTAATGACCAGACCATGACCTCATTTCACCAGCATAAGTGTAGATCAAAGTGGAAGATGCCTGTCCAGTGTGAAGTGTGTTTCTGGGCATGACAGCACTTCACATCAGAAAGACAGCTCAAGAATACGACAGTCAAAATTACTTAATTATGTCCCAGCTTTGTAATTATTCATCGCTGCTTCTACAAAGAGTACAGTTGTCATTTCTTGACATGATTATTTAAAACTGTACCCTCTTTTGGTTTATAGGTATATGAATTGTGTTTCCAACTGTTTCATCTTTAAAACTTAGAGATGCAAAACAGAATGTGATTTGAGAATACATTTTAAGACTCCACATTTTTACATTGCATATGATATAAACAAACAAAATTAAATTATGATGTATCAAAGCACATAATAATTTCCTATTTTAATGGTCTATTTTCATGATCATTTAACCTAGATGATAAAATGTGGATATATCCATTATGTCTAAAATGTGTTGCTATGAATAGATACACACTGTCATAAGTCTCTTTAAAGATAAATTTAATTGCTTAATAGTGGGTCAGTGCACATGCTTTTAGAAAATACATATATTTCCCAGTATTTTGCAACCCTTCTGCCCAACAACTATTTTTTAACTTACTGCATTTTTGAAGTTAACGTTTTTATCAGTTTTATTTATAGTGGCAAAAGCAAACAGTGTGCATTTGGTGACATGCAAGAGTCTTGCAGCTTATAGCACCAAATTGTCAGCAGGTATCCATAGGTATACTTCCAAGTAACTGACTTAATATTATGTGGAGTTATTCTGCTTTCTTTCAACTTTACCAAGAACATCTTTTCCACTGGGTATAAAGGAAACTGTACAACAAAAGATGGCAGTATAGGTGTTTTGAATTTTTTTTGCCCTCAGATGCATTGTTTTCATCACAACTTATAACTGTAAAACCTGACATAGCATTTGTTCTCTAAGGAACTAAGATGGAGATGCTTAAGCAGAAAGGCAAGTCTAATATTTGTATTTCATGTGATGAGTGTATGTGATTCTTGCTCACACTGTTACTTGGAGGGTAGAGGGAGATTATTATGATAGGAAGAGTAAATATTTAGGCAGAACAGCTTAAGAAATAATGTGAGCTAAAATCTACAGTGTTGCTTTCAGATCATAGTCAGTATTCTTGTGTTTAAGCTCATAGGAAAAGCTCATTATCGAAGTGACCAATGCTGATATATGCTTTTTCAAATTCTATTAAAATCAGATGAGGCATAGGGAGTGATTTTAGTAATTTTTGTCCTTAACTATTTAACAGGAATCATATTTTTCTTAAATAGATGTGTTCTATCTGCTTCCAAGAATTTAGGCAGGGTATTTTTGCTAATGCATCTCATGGGCCTTTCCCCACCCCTTCCCTAAATTAGGAAAATGGAGTTGGTTTTAAAAAGGAAATAAAAGGTGACAGATAAACCTTTGGAGAACATCTGCATTGCTCACTTTTTTTTTTTTTCCTTTTACCAGCATCATTGTGTAGAGATCTTGGCTTATGAACTTACAGCATTTGAAGTACATAAAAGGCAAAGGGCTTTTAAAGTGTAAAGAATCATTGTGGCAATGAACTGCTAGCTTGCAAGATACCTCTTTGAGAGAGCTTCTACATAATAGGGTTTCTTATCATCCAGATGTCAAGGTTTCACATACTAAAACAGAACAATGTCACAAATTTAAGACTCCAACCTAAACTGTGATTCAGTAAATAGTATTGACTTCAAAGACATTGTAGCAGTCATGCTGCTTTTTGGCACACTGAAGTATCTACTTTGCTCTTTGAAAAGTTAAGTATTTTAAGCAAGAGTCCATAACGTGATTGCCTCATAATCCCCTAATGACACATCAAAATTAGGAATAAAGAATAACTGAAAAAATAAAATGCCAGAATTTATATTTATGTTCTGTATGAACACTTTGGCGGTTTAGGAGAAAA